GTCAAGAGTTCAAAAACTTCCAGCGCACACTAGAATATCAGGATTGACACAAAGTTTATTCAAAAATGTTTAACAACAAAAGGAGCGAACAACGCGTTTCGCTTGTTGCGTCATCAGATTCGCTCTGATGACGCAACAAGCGAAACGCGTTGTTCAACACCTAATGTTAATCCGATCTGAATGGGGTGTAGATGTTTTTTTCAGACCTGTTTTGTGATTTTATGATAAAGCAGCTCTTCGAGACTTTCAAAATGTTCTCAGACCAAATGGATCAAATCCATTGAATCAATCAAATCATCAAACTAAATGAATCCTGATCTGTGAAAAAAGTCATTTTGTGGGGTTTGTGCCACTCAAAAAATATATGCAATGATTTACTGATGTCTCTTTTACACTGTTAATCTATGGGAAAAAGCCTTTCTGGGCTTAATGGCATCACATGATGGTTGTAATTTCACGGTTTGGCCACTATGTCCAGGCACCCAGGTAGTGTGTCAGGCTTTGAAGTTAATTTTCATAGTGGCCAAACAGTGGAATTACACCGCCACGTGATGCCCTGTGGCCCAAAAAGACTTTGACTCAGTTTACTATCAGGATTTAATCCATTTGGTCCGATAATATTTGAAAAGTCTAGAAGAGCCTCATGATTAAATCATTTTATCTCCATTCAAGTTAGTAGAGCACTAAACTGGAAGTAGCCGGCTCAGCAGACTGAAGTCTCTAGCGCACCTGCTCTGTGGGCCCAGTGATGTGGATGCAGTGCTGAGCATCAGGGTAATATCTGTGGCAGTTGAATGTTTTTGCCTTCATGCCACTTAGCAACTTTCAGAGGTGGGGCTCTGCCTTCCACTGTATCCAGTTTTCTTTATGCATCCATGACTATGTCAGTCAGCTTCAAAGCTGGCACTGTTCCTGGGGGTTTGCTACATAGCCTTCCCCAGATTGCTCCCACGGTGGATACAGCTTTGCCAAATGTCTACCTGTGGACATATTTCTCCCATTGCACAGTATGTACCATTCACAATTTTTTGTGGTAACAATTTCTTTTTTTACAAAAAAATCCCAATGCAATTAACCAACTCAACCACATATTGGTCATCACAAATGTATGTATGTCTTTATCTGTTGTAAATAGAAATTCAGCAGTTCAGGCAGCACTTTGGTCAGATTTGTCATCTTTGTGTTTGTTGTCCCTTTCGTGAAGTGTTTACACATAAAGGTAGGGGAGGTGTGAAGTTGAAACCTTTCTTGAAGCCGCTTCCCGCCTTCCGCCTTCCGCCTTCTGCTTCCCGCCTTCCGCTTATCGCCTTCCGCTTCCTGCTTGAGTCGGCGTCCTCCGTCACCTCGGCTCTTAAATTATAACTTTAAACCAGTTTTATGCCATGTCTAATGAACTACTTTTAAGATTTTATTTGTTTAAAGTCTGTTCATTTGGCCGGATGGCCGATCTTGTGTTTTTGATTGGCGGATTTTGAGCTTTTTGGACACGTGTGACTGGTGCCGACATAGCCGCACCCCAAACTTCATTAGCGTTTCGCTGACTTTTAGCAACAATCTAGTTTTTCTCTGCTCTACAACTGGATTAACTACAATGATACTGCCTGCCTGAGAGTGAAAGTCCCCGTGAACACTTCGGCCACCCCAGAAGCCTTTTTACACCTTCTGTGCCACTTTCTGGACACCGGAGTGACTGCAGCTACCTGGCGAAACTCACTGGTTTCTCCCGGACACTCATTCACCTCTACGCGCTGCATATACAGTGCTGCTGTGCACTGTTGGCTGAGTGCCACCTGCTTGTATCAGCTTCACTATAACACCGTGCTGCCCACCGGACCTCCGTGCTCCCTCGGCAGCACCGAGACAGCGACACTCCGGTTCTTCGAGCTGGTACACCTCCTGGAATATCAACAACCGGGAGAGGGCGAAGATTAAAGCCTGAATGAGTTAAGTCAGACTGCCTGTAGCAACCTGTAGCAACTTAGCTTGGTTTGCTAAGCTAATGGCTACATCCAGCCCTCCCGATGAAAACCAGCAACTCGTTAAGAAAAACAGGATCATTGCCAACCTCAGGGAAGACATCCGAAGGCTGTAAGCAGAACTCAAATCCCAATATGAGCTGCTGACAAACACCCTGGACGTGGCTCACGAGCAGTCTCTACAGATCTCCTCGTTAAAAGCTGCTCTTCAGGACACAGTAGCCTGGGATCCTACCTCCTCTCCTCCGCAGCCCAGCAGTTCAACGCCCAATCATAAGCTGCAATGGTCGGAGGTGGTGTTACGGAGCAAAAAAAGGACCTCGCTCGGCGTCGGTCTCTCATCCCACCTCAGCCTTTCCAACAGATTTGAGCCTCTGTCATCGTGGGTCAAAGCGCCAGACTCCAGTGAGCTCAAGGACGATGCAGCCCGTCCCACGTCTCCCCAGTCCGGGAGTCATCCTCTGCCAGGAGCTCCCCTCCCGGCTGACAGCCGGCAGGCTCCCCGCACGGACCGCTCTGTGTCCCCCCTCGCACACACCACGGAAACAGAGCAGCAACAGAGGAAACAGAGTCGCTTAACTCATAAAGGTGAGACTATGAAACTGAGCAATAACAAAGTTAACGGGTCACAAGCCAGTGCCAGGCCAAGAGCCAGAGAGCATTCTGCCAAAAACAAAGCTAAGAGGATAGACACTATTCTGATTGGAGATTTTATAACGAGGCAGGTGGAAATGGCCAGGACTGAAAATCTAACTGTGAATAACACATCAGTCAGAGAGGTGGCAGCTATGCTACCAGACATTATGTCTACACGGCCACATATTAAGAAGATTGTTATTCATGCTGGCTCATTTGACATCCTCACGAATAAATCTGGGTCTGAGACCCTAAAGAAAGACTTTTTGTTTTTATTGGAAACACTTAAAAAACTTCACTCAGGAGTGTCTTTCATCTCTGGACCTATCCCAACACTCGGCAGAGGTTGCGAGTCCTTCAGCAGACTCCTTGGCTTAAGCACCTGGCTGTCATCAGCCTGCCTCGAGCAACAGGTTGGATTTATTGACAATTTTAATATTTTTTGGAACATAAAAAGCCGCTTCATGTCAGACGGGATTCACCCAAACAACCTTGGCTCCAGATATCTTGGCTGCAACATACGTCACACCATCGAGTCATCTTATCAGAACATATATGCACTGATAAGCAGGAAGGTCAGCACACAGGGAGCAGACAGACAGACAGTTACTGCTCCAAAAACAACAACCGCCTCCCATGATGATGACGTCACGGTCTGTGACTCTGTCC